TCCCGGACTAGATACAATTTTAAAAGAGTATTTAACACCACAAATTCTTCAAAAGCAGCATGATCAAATAGCTCAGTCGCTATGCTATGATGTGTTTTTAATTAATGACTGGCAATCACTACTAGAGGTAAGGTTTATTAAGTCAGTTAAGAAAATTATAGTGTAACAAAAAGTAACCAACATATCATTAACAAACTTCCCTTTGGTATAGATGACAGACAATTCTTATCAACAAAATATAGCCAGAGAAGATGATTATGACCAACCACAATCACTATTTTCATCATTGCTGGAAAAAATACCTAGTGATTCTGTTAAAGAAGTATAGAAAGCAATTAGACATAACGTACAAAACTCAGAACCACAACATATAATTCTCCTTAATAATGGCTCACATTTGTGCACTTGCTTTTTGCTAATTAACAAAGGAATAGTGTGCCAGCACTTTTTTTGCGTTATGTCTTACTCAACTAATGTATATTTTCACATTTCATTAATTCCTCGGCGTTGGTATAATAACTGCAAATATAATACCAGTTAAGAGAATATACCAACTTACCATTTCGCTAGAAAAGAATCAGAACTACCTTTACTCCAACCCTTAACGTTTCAACATTTGGTAGGATTTAATCAAACACATAATGTCGAATAGCCACAAGGACCTAAACAAAAGTATGGATTCGAAATGGGTTATGCCAAAAAAGCTCTTGATCTTGCAATTCGGGCTGACAGAGTTGAGGAATTTGTTAGTCACCTGAAAGATTTTATTGAAGACGCGAAAAATGATTTGTTCAGTTCACAAGACAATGCTAGTTCCTTAAGCATTGGAGATCCTTTACACGTACCACATAAAGGTCGACAGCCAAATAGATATAAATCCGATGGTGAACCTTCAAGAAAAGCTCGACGTATTGTTCAAGGTACTGATCAAAGCAATGAAGACGAAATCCGAAAGGTAACTAAAGCTTCGAATAATGAAGATTTAGAAAAAAAGGTTAGAAGGTGTCATAAATGCAAACAAGTTGGTCATTATGCACCAACATGTTCAAATGTCGATGGATAAAAAAATGTAAGGTAAATGTGTTACATGAAATACAGTATACTTACTACTATATAGAATTTTTGCAACGATATGTAGATCCGCTTCGCTGTGGCGTAGCCACGGCATATACAGTATTATAGAGTTAAAAGTTATTTTTTTTTATATGTAAAGCTATAAAGCTATATTAGTAAATCAAATAAATAAATAAATAAACAAAATAGAATATTATATAACATACTAGGTGATATCACTCTAGGTGAAAAATAGTTATAAACTATTTTTTATTACCTACAAATAAGCATTAAAAAGATATTTACAATATTTATTTTTACAAAAAAAAAAAAAAAAAAAATTATTATACTTACAACATAAAGCATTTCTAATATTGTATATTAAATATTTTAGATTAGTGAAGACCTTTAATACAATTAATATGTGTACAAGCATCTTATTTGTATCAAAATTATTATTAATACATATTTCTAATTGTAAAGAGGCTTTCAGAAATTATGTAATTAAAGGGTGGATAGGTGGGTTGGCTGAAGTATTAAGTTATAATTCTGGCCAAAATTATAAAAAAAAATTTTTAAATTTAATAATAAAATATAATAATAAATAACTTTTGATCTATTAAGCCGATTTAAATAATTTAATTACCAAAATGATTCTCTTAATGAGAGCTTTCTAAGAAGTCTAAAATTATTAAAATCTAATTATTGGATTTAAAGATCAGAATAAAATTATGCTTTAATATATAACTAATAAATTATAATTTTAAGTTCTAAGTAAATATATTTAAAATACAAATATATACTATAATAATCAGGGTTGTCACGTTACTATGTTTATTCTATTGGCCTCTAATTCTATTTACTTTTTTCATTTTCTATTGTAAATATTCAATATTAAATTTTATTAATTAAATATAAAAATATTTTAAATTTATAATTTTACTAATGGTCTAACAATATATATTTAAATAATTGCAAATTATTAATAAAAAATTTTTTTTATATAAAGACAAAAAATCAGGTTTTTATTCTATTATTCTATTTGCCAACACTGAATATGACTAATATTACTTATCTTTTCACAGCTATGGTTAAAGAAATTTATAAATCATTGCTATAAAATAAAGCATTATTTTTTTACTATTAAAAAATGTGGAAATAAAAAATGCATGATTTGTTTACTACCTTGATGCTTTCAAGAGGAATTTGAACAACTTTATTGCATTTTCGATTCGGTTCTTGGCAAAAATCTTCATTATAAATTATTTGAGGAACTATATAGTATACCTACAACTAAAGAGCATAGAATCTTGCTTAAAAATACTAGATTGAAAACTACCAAATCAGGTAAAACAAAAGCTACTATTGTAGCAAAACATACCATGCTATTTAGCCCTTCTTCTATATATGCAAAAAATATTAGAATTACTATAACTTGTACAGAATGTAAAAACCTATATTTACTATTTAGTGCAAAAAAATTATTAGCAAAAGAATATAAAATTCTAGAATCTTTTCTTGATACAGTTTTATATATATGTGAAATGTCATTTTATAATACCCATGATCTTGTATCTATTGGCTTGATTAATATTCCTAGCAAAATATCAACAATGATAATAATAGCCAACAAGATTTGCAAAGTGATAACCTGCAAAGTGATGATCTACAAGATGACAATATACAAGATGATGATGATCTACAAGATGATAGTGATCTACAAAATAAAAACCTACAAGATAATAGGCCAAATATTAATATATTAGCCAGACCTAGTTATTTGAATATAGAAAATACTGAAATTAATGATGAAGAAGTTAGTGATAAAGATAGTTATAAAGAGAAAAAGAAGTGAGAAAAAATGAATAACAAAACTTCTACCAAAATTGCTAGTTCTTATTTGAATATAGAAAATACTGAAATTAATGAAGAAGAAGTTAGTGATAAAGATAGTTATAAAGAGGAAAAGAAGTGAGAAAAAATGAATAACAAAACTTCTACTGAAATTGCTAGTTCTGAAGAAAAAATTGTAATAAATCCTTTGTATAAACTTTTTCAAAAGGTCTTTATAAACGATTCTTGAAACTGTGCATCACCAATTAAAAAACTATATTATTCAGCAAGGATTTTTCTCCTTGTTTGCTATCATTATAGAAATCAAGATGTAACAAAAACATTAAAAGATGAATGACTTTTATGTATTAATTGTAATAGAAAAGCTTTACCAAAGAAGTGTATTAAGTGGGTTCAGAATACAAACAAAAAAAGAAAACAACATCGAACAAATAATAGTTAGACAAATATAAAACTTGTAAAACTTTATTATCATTATCATTATTATATAAAATAAATATATAAAATAAATATTGATGTATTATATTATAATTATGTATTTCTATTGGCTACCTATCTACTGCGCCATAAAAAAAATTTGGGGTCTAGTAATTTCTAACCTGGCCAGAATATGAAAACCAAAAAATTTTTTTATATCGCCTTATAATTAATGCTTGGTATAATTAAACAAAAATTTAATAATCAAATACTTGTAATTAAATTAAATATCAAACAACCAAAACTGAATATAATATTGATTGAACTGTAATTATTTAATGTTCAACTTAATTACAAATATATATCTAACTATTAAATTTTTGTTTGATTTTGCTAAGCATTAGTTATAAAAGTATTATTTTTTTTTTTGTTTGATTTTTGATAAGTTTTTTAAAGCAATATTATTTATTATCTTAAAGATATATTTTTTTATCTTCTTTTTTTATTATATATTTAATTAGATCTTTACAGTATATATAATTTTAATTTTTTTACCTTCTTCTTTCTAAAAAATCATCTGATTTTTGTTACTTTCCTTATTTTGTTTATTTTTTATTGGCTATATTTGGTTTTGTTTTTATAATTAAATTTTATACTTAGATAATAGTAATTTCTCTTTTTTAGCTTTTCACTTTATATTCTTTCTTTTCTTATAAAAGTGCTATAGTTTTTTTTCTTTTGTTTTTTCTTTTGATAAAGAAATAGATTGAATATTGCTTTTCTGCCAAGATTGAGATAAAAAAAAATGAAAAGTTGGCTTCTGACAGAGTTAACAAAATCTTCTGCTTTATTCATAAGGTGGTGTGGCAGGTTGTATCTAGGTACTCGAGAAGCAACCAGATGATGCCGGATCTTGTTTTTTTAGTTAGATAATATCAATAAGGGTAGTTTGCATTGTTTTGCTTTGGCACAATTAAGTATAGGCCACAGGCTAATTAGTATAATATTATATCTATTTATAAACTAATTTATGAACTATTTGGTTTGTTACTGCTACGTATTAGCTTTAAAAAAGGCTGGAAAAACACTGAGAGAAAATCAAAATGATTAATCTCTTGAAAGAAAATTCGGATTGGTTAAACTTTTAGTCAGCTTGAATAATTCATTCGGTTTGGCTTACTTGGTTAACTTTGTTGGCTCAACTGACTCGGTTTACTCTCAGATGATTCGGTTGTTCCGGTTCAACCAAAACAATCTCCGGTTGAGCCGATTGATCCAGTTGAGATTGGGTTAGTTATCCGGTCGATGCCTTTGATATCTGGTTCAGATCACCAATGAAATTGACTTTTATATCGGATGAAAAGTTTCTACATATACGGGACTTTTTTATCAATTATTAAAAAATGATGGTTGCTTTGTTATACCAATATTGTGCGTGTATATAGCTATAAAAACTTTTATCATCAACGGAGATATTTGTCTAGGAAATTTTCATTCAGGCGGTAATTAAATAATAAATAAATTGTATTGCATAATATATATAATATAAGGCCAAGCAAAATTAATTAATTTGTTTTCATAACCTGGCCGGGTTAAAATTTGAAAACTTCTAAAAAAAAAATTTTATATGTTTTAATAACCGGGTGGGCTTTAAAAAAAAAAATTTATATAAATTTTATAAAATTTTATATATGAAATTTAAAAAAAAAAGCCAGCCGGCCGGGTCTATTTTTAAAATTT